TAGTATTTTATTTTTAGTATATTTAGGTTTATTAACATAAATAATCTGTTTCTTGCACAATGAACCATAAAAAACATCTGTCCTGAAGAGCTGCACAGATGGACTGCAAGGTTTATTAAGTTTTCGAGACAAAATGAAAGAAAGAACTGACCGACTAAAAATAAGTAAAACATTAAAGAGACAATTACGTCATAAAGTTTCTTCACTGCTGCTTCTTTTGGAATCAATTAAAAAGAAAAGAAAATATAAATGTACTTTATTTGTGATGAGATTTGTGCATTTCACACATCTCATGTGAGAAACACCAAAGTGGAGCAGCGGGCATTTTTTAAGCATCTGAGGAGTAGATGGACATTGGGTGTCTTGCGCACGGACACCAAAACATGTGGGCAGGGAATCAAACCTGTGACTTTCTGATCCCACTGTAGTGCAGCTCTACCACTCTACCAAATAAGATAGTAAACAAATTTATAGTTTGTCAATCACTTTTAAAACATTGCGTTTATGGTCCAGATCTGAAGTCTTTCAGCACAACAGTGGCAGAAAGCAGGAAGAGAAAAACAAATCTTAAAAAAAAAAGAAGAAATAATCTATAAAAATGGCTGGCAATGAGTCCTACTGAAAATTCTACTGAAGAGAAAAGAAAAGAAAATTTGAGGGGAAAATAAACTATAACAATGTAAAAAAAAAACATGTCTGGAAACCAGTAAAATCTTAGCAGTGTGAGAAAAACTAAAGAAACGTGAAAATGTCAAAAAAATGTGTCAAAACTGGTGCGTCTTTTCACTTTATGAAATAATCTCTTTCAAAATATGGGATTTCCAAAGCAATTTTTAAAAAAAGTGTTCAGAGAGGATAAGTTACAGAACATTTAACTTGTGAGCAGAAATTATTTTGCACGATTGCTAAAAAAATACTTATTGTAAAGGACATGTAGTGTGAATCGAAATGAGCTTCTTTAATTGAAATGTTACATTTTTTGTGGTTGCTAAGATGTTCTGTGTAAGTTTGATTAAGCACACAGCCAATAAATTAAATGCAGTCGCAGCATAATGTACACCATCACCAGATGTTGAGCTGCAAAAGAGGCCCCGAAGTATAAATATCCCGCAGTGATGTCCTTGAACCTGATCTATTGTATGTGAGTTTGGACGAAACTCAACTTTCCTCTTTATCTCTGCTGCTTTAACTTCAGAAAAACATCAGTGAAAGCAGAAACCGAAGAATTAAAAGTCCATCTGCATGTCACACAGGAATGATCACACAAAAATACGTCTCTCTCAGGAAACGGGACGTAATTAATTTCTAATTTTCCCGTTTTCTCCCACAGTGCGAAGCTGAAGAGCAACAGAGAAGTCTGCATCAACCCAGAGACCAAGTGGCTGCAGCAGTACTTAAAGAACGCCATCAACAAGTAAGAAAAGCCCCTCATCAGTCTTCTGATAATTACTCACAAAGACAGAAAATATGAGAAATACAAAATAGGATCAGCCTGTAAGAAAGAAAGAATTCGCTATTTTTAGCTGTTTAGCGTGTAGTTTGTGAAATTGTTTATATTTTTTGGTCAAAACATCAGGGAAATTATGAACATGAAGAAAGATTAATGATAAATTTTCCATTTGCGTGTTTTTTCCTAAAAAAAAATACACAAGATTTCACCCACGTTTACAAGAAAAAATGAGTGAGCATGTGTTCTTAATTTCTGCCACATTACAGTTTGAGAGATTTTCTTTCTAAAAAAATAATAAAAACATTTCTGTCACCGCTAGCTGCACATCAGCAAAACAGTTGTTTTGGTTCGGAGTAAACTGTTCAGACTGCTTTTGACTGATTTAGTTTTAATGAACTTTCCGGTTAGAATAGAAAAGTCGCCATTGCTGCAAATTTGGATCTTAAAACGGCCCGTGCTTTGTGTAAAAAACACACAAAAAAAGATAGAACGTGCCTGAAAAAGGCTAAATAAAAAAAATGAATAAAACAAAAAAAAACTGTTTGTTTGACTCATTCATCCTATTCCTGCTTTTAGAGTCTCTGCAAACAAAACACATCAAAATCTGGATGTTCCTACCAGAACTGCAAATAAATGTCACGTTTATGGTGTTAAAAAAATTGCCAAATTTCTTTTTTTGCTATTGCGCTTTGGACAAAACATTTTCTGTGAATCAGATAAAAAACAAAACAACAACAACTACACACAGTCAAAATATACAATGAATTTCAGCAGCCTAATAATTTAAGTTTGGCTCTGACACCACCTTTAAATGAAACCCAGCAGATTCAGACTTTACACCCCCAGAAATGCCCCGCAAAAAGTCTTTCATGTCAGACATATTTTCACAACTACAAATACTCTGGAGAGATGCCGGAGTGAAGTGCAAAGATGGCAGAATGTGATGGAAAACATGTGATGAAGACTTTCTGGGGATCTGATTAAACACAGTGAAAGGTCCACTACAGTAGACCACATTTGTGTTCTCACATGCAGCCATCACCCCAGCCCCATCCAACACACACACACGCACACACACACACACACACAC